GAATACAGAAAAGAGCCTCAGATTGGTGAGATGATTTTGCCTGGGGCACTGATCTAATCATTCCTCCCAATTATCTCAGACTCCCCCCCCCCCCAACTCAGAATGGCAGGACACCTTACATGAGGGCAGGGAATGATGGTGAGGGAGGCTATTCTGAGTATTTGTTGTTCATTTGCTTCGGTAGTGTCCTACTCTTTGTGACCCTATTTGGGGTTTTCTTGGTAAAGATACTGGAGGGGTTTGCCATGTCCTTCTGCAGCTCATTTACAGATAAGGAAACTGAGGCAAACAGGGTTAAGTGACTTGCCCAGGGTCACACAGCTAGGAAGTGTCTGAGGTCACATTTGAACTCAGGTCCTCTTGACTCCAGGGCTGGTGCTCTCTCCACTATACCACCTAGCTGTCTCAATTCTGAGCATACCTACTTCTTATGCTTTGGACACTGGTGTTCAAAAGAGATTTGTGGCTGGTAATGAGGTCTTACTTAAGTACCTCATTAAAATATTTTCACCAGACACCGGTCAGAATGGAGTACGTGTAAAACAAAACACCTGTGCTCTCTCTCCTAAGGTTGTTCACAAGGCCTCTCCCGTACCAGTTTAAGATAATAATAGCCAGGGGCAGCTAGGTAGCAAAGTGGATAGAGCACTGGCCCTGGAGTCAGGAGGACCTGAATTCAAATTCGACCTCAGACACATAATACTTCCTAGCTGTGTGACTCTGGGCAAGTCACTTAACCCCAATTGCCTCATTAAAAAAAAAAAAAAGATAATAGCCAACATTTGTGTAGAGCTCTTTCAGGCTTGCAAAGTGCTTTACACACATTAACTGATGTGATCCTTACCACTCTCTAAGGTAGGCAGTGCTGCTGTTATTCTTATTTGACAGATGAGGAAACTGAGGTAGACGAGGTTAAATGGCTTGCCCAGGGTCATACAATTACTAAGTGGGAGGCAGAATTTGGCTCCAAGTGTAACATGCTACCAGTGAGGCAAAAATCTGACTTGGGATATTTTACAAGGTCAGGTGAAGGGAAGCTCCCATTGCAAAAAGGGTTGAAGGGCAATCATATTCATGGTTTGTGGCATCTGGAAACCAAGTGTGCATTGGCCCTGCCATAGAAACAATTACAGAGTTGGAAGGAAATTGGGAGGCCATGTAGGCCAATGTGAAATTGTAAGGGAATTCCCTCCAAATCATCCCCAACAAATGGTCATACATTATCTGCTTGACTATCTTCCGCGACAGGGAGCTCACTACATTCCAAGGCAGACTATACTGCTTTTGGATTGATTTAGGTGATAGGAAGTTTTCCCTTTTTGCCAAGCTAAGTCTTAGGTTTCATAACTTCTTCTGGTGCCGAGCAAATAACTCTACTTTCACATGATGGCCCTTTGAATATTTTAAGGCCAGGTTCCCTTCTGTTCCAAATCCACATACTTATGTTATCATCCATCTCTCTCCAGGGCGGGGTGGGGGGGTGTGGTTCCCAAGGGTATGTTAAGGGGTCAAATAAGAAGTCCCCTTGTGTGTTATATTGGTCTGGTTAATATGCTTTGTGTATTTATGATGAGTATGGAAGAATGGAAATGTTAAAAATAACTGAAGAAGTAACAAAAGACTAATTTCTAGCCAGTGTGAGATTTCGGAATTTTTTTTCCCATTACCTTGATTTACGAAATTGTACTGTTTGTTATCAGCAGCCCACGGCCATGCCATGAGCCCATTTCAGAGAATATTTGGACTCACTGAACTTCTCTTTGGATCACTCAGGACCACTCTCTGACTTTGACTTCTAGAAGGTTCCTGGGATAAG